GATTATATGTCAGAATGAGTAGTAGATGTATGTAAAACTTAAAAATACAAATGTCCGAAATAAAAAGGCATAAACCTCGAATATTTAAATAAGATTTTTTGTTGTATTCGCATTGTTAGTTTGATCTTTTACAATACAAATTAGCAATCTATGTATATTTCTGCTTCTTAAGCAGACATTGATTTCACAATAAAATTTATATCTTATAGTTTGAATTCACAGGAAATCAGGCTCGCTTACAAATATTGAAAACCAAAAGTTGTGTCTTTAAAGTTTCGTTTTTTAAAGTAAAGTTATTACAATTTAATTTGGGTTAATTTATTTATTTGTCAGCTCATTAGCTCTAAATTAGAGTAGATGTACCATCAAATGGTTGGAAAGCTTTATCTCTGCTATTTGTTCATTTAGACTAGTTGATAACAAATTGAAGGTAACTTAACAAAATTGCTCGAATTTGAGTATCGTATAAGCCAATAAGTGTAATCAATACAGATTAAGTTACTCCTTCACTACAAATAAGTTCATGACTAGGAAAAGTATTTTTTCTGTAGGCTAATTCAATATTCAGCCTATGTGAAACCTTCCACCTCATTTTCAGGTAAGTTCATAGCCTACACCAGATCATTCTTTATTCTAGAGTATTAAGTATTTAAAATATTTTGTTCATACAAGCACTCGGAGATCCGTATTATCTTTCAGCACATTTATGTATAGATTACGTCAAAAGTAAATGTATTAAAAGTTCAATGATCGCTCTCTTCTTTACTTAAATTCCGACATCATTGATCTATATTTTGTTCCTATGGGCTAAATGTACTCTTAGTAAATTATTTAGTTGGTTATTCAAGTTTGATTAAGAATAAGAAATTATCGGTTATGTCTGCCCTAGACATGGTTTTTGATCTCTTATTGCTAGTGGCTCACACATTATAACAGAATTTATATTAGAAAATAACGAACTTTAAAATCATGCCAAATTATTGACGTAGGCGTCATTATCTTTGCTATACCTTGACTAACATAGATTAAGCTAAAAAGTAAATACAAAATGTCTCAATCAGTACATATTAAACTTGAAAATTATTGAAAATTTAATAAACAGATAAAAAGCTCGGAGAGCTTATTTTCATTGATTGAAGAAAGAAAATTATGTGCAATTTTTATAGTTCATTAAAATGAACAAAGAACTTTAAGTTCCTATCACAGAAAGCTTGCTTGTAACGACTATCCTATCTGTTCACTCCCCATTCCTCGTTGTCTGCACCTCCTTCATTTAGCAGTACCAAATCATTTAGGGTTGAGTTTCACATCCATATGAGGAAAACAAGACGTTGTGAACGATAAACAGATTACCAGAAGATCGAATGATATTGTTCATTCTACAACAACGAGTAACTGTCTTGCAACTTTGTGTTCTAAGCCTTTTGTCAAGAGTCTTGCTGGTCAAGGGCAACTGCTCTGTCTGTAAATAGTTCAGGTGTGGAGGCACGAAGATTGTATTCCAAAATCCGCTGAAAGCAAAATGTCTTCGTAATCAGAAAGACGTGAATACAAACGAAGGTTGCCGGCCTCTCCCAGCCTAGAAAAATATAGCTCATTATTTATTTCTGATAAATATCAGGACAATGTGTTAAGACTTCCTGTACTACAAGTACCGAAAGTACGTCGGTCACTTGTTTTCGCAGCAAAAAGCCTCCAACTACACACAGAAAGCGACTTTTATTTCCAAATCTACTGAAGATGTCTCCTTTTTGCGGTAATTCTGGTGGTAGTAACCGCTTTTGATGGTGAGGATGCTATAAATGTCTGTCTTATGCCTGGTATTCGTGCCTGCCTCCTGTCAGAACAGTGTCTCCACAAACTGAAGTAGCCTCTGTTAGGCCAGTATAGAAATTGACTTGAACCTCCATCCCGAAACGATGTCTGAGGATGAAAGAATCGCTTTCTCTGTTTACCGTGATTGCAAACTATAAAATGTGGCTCAATTTGGCTACGAGCACAGTTACACTTAAGGGTTTTGCACATACGAGTTAGAAATCCATGATTATGGGTCATTTGACTTGGAGGTCGGGAAGACTTTCCAGCATAGTTGGCACATAAATAATGGAGAAAATCTCCTTTATTTGATACTTTTTGTCTACCTGCATTCGAGGCAACGCCGAAGGTATTGAGTGGACTGGATTCTGCAAAAATTAGTCTTGCATCTTTGTTTATCTCATGAGTTTCTACTGTATACAAAAGGGTATGTTTCACATGTTGCGAACCCTGGGCTTTACCGGCACAAGCAGGAGAATCGCGCAAACTCATCACACCTGCACTGGGCTCACTGCTATTATCGAAATTATTTCCACCAGCTCGCCCACCAATTCCGATGAGGCTTCCGACAGCGACTGTATTTGAGTCAGCACAAAAACCAGAACGTTCCTGTTTGGTGCATAGCCTAATTCGGTCGCAGCCAAGCATTGTATGAAATATTTGTCTATATTTATCCCAGTAAATGATGTATACAAAAAAATTGGCTGTTGAATTGAGCATTGAACAAAACCAGCAGACCGGAGTGAGTATATTGTACGAGGTCTCTGACCAGCAGGAGGCTTTCTCACGTGCCTGGAATGTCTCCCATTCACGGTAGCACTCGAAGAAGATATGCGGCAAGAATGGAAGTCCACAGAAGGTGAAGGTGCCCAGCACAATCATGAGAACCTTGTGAACTTTGGCACGAATCTGATTTGCTAATCGGATCCTATTCAACCTGATCTGTTCTCCTTTGTGGCCTGCAGATATGCTTCCTCTGTTGCTGCCAGAACCGCCCAATAAATGATTCGACCGAAGCCGAGTGGAGGTGTGCATAACACGAAGAATTTGTAGACTGCAGAAGGAAAGTATGAGCACTGGAAGTAGAGTGAGGCAGATGGAGTCAATCAAGGTGTGAATACGCAATGACTCACTATGAACCAGTTGCCACCAGGACGAGAGATGAGTACGCTTTCGAGCAATCCGTCGCAACAGCATCGGCAGACGGAGGAGCAGAGCGAAAGCGGCGCAGACAGCAATACCAATTTTTGTAGTTCGTACAGACCACCACGCCTTACAATGCAACGGATAGCAGGTGATTATGTAACGTTCGAGTCCGATCAAAACAATGACCCAGTTACGCAACAATTCGCAATAATTTATAAATATAATCACATAATCCTCGTATGCATCATACAACCTTCTCGCATGCAAGCTAGGGTACTGTGAAAGTATGGTCTTAAACTCAAGATAAAAGGCTGCGGAGAGAAGAAAAGCAAAGTCTAGCCCAGCCGAGGTTGTCAACATGATTCTCGTGGTACGAGGGGTCAGTCTGTCGCGAAAAAACATGCCAAGACTCAATAAAGACGTGATTAGTCCTGTGAGAAGGACCGGCAAGCCAAGGTAGAGTATTAACAGCACCCGCATGAACTCGACAACTTGATATGCCGGAGGACCACCGACCCACATTGGCTCAGCTGAACAGTTGAGAGTGGTTGCTGTGTCGGGTAGAACTGGTCGGAGTGCTTCAGCTCCAGCGCTCTGGCCAGTCGCATTTGCAGTCAGATTTGTGTGACCACCGGAGGATGTTGTGGTGCCACTGGAGACATTGCCGCCTGAAGATCCTGCCGTCACCATTAACCTGTTCAGGCTGTCTGAAGCTTCGTTAACCACCACCAAAAATAGCTCTTCTCTCTTGTCTGCGACGAAGCCTGCCTCGAGGGTATTCGTTCTTTCGGGCCCATGCACATCGACACTGTCGGAAGCGCTTCCACTGACGACTCCGCTGCCTCCACTTCTCGAGGGCACTTCAAAATCCTTCGGTTCTGTCGTCTCTAGGCTCGAGGGTTTTCTGCTCACGAAGGCCTCTGTAGACGTACCAATGTTGACAACCAGACCGCTGCCGAGTCTGAGACTAGCTGTTATGAACCAGCCGGAGTTGTGAGTAAATCCATAGGCATCCCTAAATGGGCTGCTATCCAAATTCGGAAAAGGAAGAAAAAGCATGCTCCTGTCGACTGTACAACTAGTTCATCGATTGTAAGTATCCTAGGGTCAGTTGAGGAAAATCTCCTATCTGACTATCTCTTCCCTCAAAAGTTATGGTATATGGGAAATATTCTTTCATGGCTTGTAATCGTGGCATAGTCTAACCTCGTCTATTATAACCGTTTTTGAAGGACATGAGCTCTAATTGGTCGAGCAGGTAAACCAATAAACGTCACTATTACGTTTAGTATCTTTTGGTGTGAATCATACGCGACACTTATATATGTATAGGCCTGGCGATTTTTACAAAACTGTTATTAATTCGGATAGTTTAAATTTCTTTGCGATTGACTCTTATGCTTTTTAGAATTAAATTGCACAATGTATTTAATTTCACAGTTTGAGCCTATTAGATGTATACATTTCAGATTTGTATATTAATTCTTGCAAGGCGAATTAGATTTATAGATAATATCTAATTTAAACCGACGTATTGCAGTACATCTTATAAAGGCCTCAGCGATTTACGATACGCGGAAGAAGGAAGATGGTAGGGAAGGCCTCCTTGTCAATGGTATGTACGAAAGAAGATATGAATCTTTAGTATTTGGAAGGTTATAAGGTGTACACAATTTTGCTGTTAGATTTGAGCTTAGTAATGCCTACAGCATCAGTACTTTATTTCTTTTCCCATTAGCAAGAATAACTCTTTCTATGATTGATTTCCATGTGATTTTGAGAAATATTGCTCACTGCTTATGAATTATATTCTCTAAAGTATACTGAAAATAGCTGTGAGACGCTTGCTCTTTGCCTAGAATCGCTATATGCCTAAAGCTGCATTTAAGTAAGAATACCACATAATTAATTCAAATAGGATCAGTAGAATTTTAGAAAAATATATTTCATTCAGCACAATAATGCTTGCAAAATGAAAACTATTGACCTAAAAAGCACAGATAATAAAATATTGCCTCTTCAAATATCAAAAGGTTGCATTTGAATTTTTAAGTTTATTTTTAATATTCTTGTAGAATAGGAAATTTTAGAATTTCTCTACTTATTCAAAATTAACTTCTTGTCTGAGTATAGGGTAATAAAATAGATGTATTTTGTGGAAAATAATCAGATAGGGTTAGTCTCTGGGATTCCATAGACTCTATCCAATTCGACTCCAATTACTTTCTTCCTCCATTAATCTTTCACCGGCCAAAATCGTAAGTGTATCGCAAAATAATGAATAGTCTTCCGATTTCTTATCTCTTATTAATAAGCATTCGCTAAATGTGAAGTAAGAAAAGATTCAAGTTCTTGAGAATTTAAACTTAGAAAAAAATGCTGGTTGAATGATCATGAATGTGACCGTATTTTGCATTTGTTAAATACTTGATTAGCACAATGTATAATGTATTTCATTCTATAAAACGGGCGTTACACTAAGTAAAATTAAAAATAAAAATCGTCATAAAGAAAAAATTTATAAGCACTATAGTCCAAGTGGCTTTTCAAGATAGAATACTA